GCCCTCAAAAAAAAAGTTTTTTTTTGTGGGGGGGGACGGAGTTTTGCTCTGTCACCCAGGGTGGAGTACAGAGGCAAAATCTTGGCTCACTGCAGCTTCAACCTCCCAGATTCAACCAATTCTTGTGGCTCAGTCTCCCCAGCAGCTGGGACTAAAGGCATGCGCCCCCAGGCCTGGCTAAGTATTGTATATTTTAGTAGAGACGGGGTTTCACCATGTTGGCCAGGGTGGTCTCTAGCTGCTAACTTCAAGTGATCTATCCACCTCCCAGAGTGCTGGGATTACAGGCATGAGCACTACGCCTGGCCAAAAATTAACAAAAAATTAACCAGGTGTGGTGGTGCATGCCTGTAGTCCCAGTTATTTGGAAGGCTCGGGTAGGAGGATGGCTTGATCCCAGTAGGTCGAGGCTGGAGTAAGCCATGATCCTGCTACTGCTCTCCAGCCTGGGTGACAAAGGGAGACCCTTCTTCAAATAAATAAAATAAAATACTGATAAGATTCATATACATTTTGAAGGGTACATATGCACTTGTCAATTTACTTATAAGAAGGGTGCAAGAAATGTTTCATATATAGTTTATGTGAGTTGCAGTTTTGCTAAATTCTCCAATAAACACTATTTTTTTCCAGCTGCTTCATTAGGAGCATATTAAAACCACCTTGTTACTTTATTATAAAAGATAAATGATTACTTTTTTAGATATAGTTAAAAGTATTTATGACTGGCAGATTATTATACTATTATCTGATACTATATTTAATTCTAGACAAGTGCTATCCAATAAAACTTTCTACGCTACCTGATAGGGTAGCTAATAGCTATATGTGGCTATTGAGCATTTGAATGTGGCTTTGTGTCTGAGGAACCAAATTTATAATTTTATTCCATTTTAATTAATTACAATTTAAATCTAAATAGCCACATGTAGCAAGTGGCTGCTATGTTGGACAGTGCAGATCTAGGCTATATAATATTATCAATAAAGTTTTAAAAAAACTTTTAAATAAGGCATGTGGCATAAGAAAAATACTATCCATAATCAGGTTGTCCATAATCCATAATACTGATTATATGTTTTCCTATTAGGGAGATGCAAATTTTTGTATGAAAAGTATCTTCATAGCCTGAAAAAACTCGATGTATTTGATATTTTAAAAATAACTGGGCTGGGCGCGGTGGCTGAAGCCTGTAATCCCAGCAGTTTGGGAGGCCAAGGAGGGTAGATCACGAGGTCAAGAGATCGAGACCATCCTGGTCAACATGGTAAAACCCCGTCTCTACTAAAAATACGAAAAATTATCTGGTCATGGTGGCTCGTGCCTGTAATCCCAGCTACTCAGGAGGCTGAGGCAGGAGAATTGCCTAAACCCAGGAGACAGAGGTTGCGGTGAGCCGAGATCGCGCCATTGCACTCCAGCCTGGGTAACAGGAGCGAAACTCCGTCTCAAAAAAAAAAAACCTGAATATCTTAAAAGGGTATTCAATGTATTTAATATTTTAAAAATAACTGAATATCTTAAAGGATACTATCATTGTTCTTAAGGGATCTATAATGTAGGTACAGAAAAGATAATAAATGATGCTAGTTGTACATTAAGAATTTTAATATAAACCAACTGACACCTTTTGTAAGAGTCTTTAATTATCTTTGCTGAGAATCTCTAAGACCTGACTAACATTTTTGGAAAACTGAGAGCCAGAAAGATTATATATTACATAATCAACACCTAAGAATTTCACCAAGTATAAGGATGTAATCAAACAGTTTGTTCAACTTAAGTCTGTGCACTGGGGCTAAGGGTGGAGGGAATTACTAAAGGAAGGAAGTTAAAGGGTAAAGATAAGGGAAGAAGCGAGAAAAATATAGCTAAGTTGATTTAGGAAAGCTGAAGTTATCTAGAATATGTACACAGATTTTTAACTAGAGTCTGTTGTAATCCACAATTACTTGAGAGCTTTGGCAAGATGGGTATTAAAAAAGTGAAGAAGGGCTGGGCTCGGTAGCTCACACCTTTAATTCCTGCACTTTTGGAGGCTAAGGCTGGCATATCACTTGAGACCAGGAGTTCGAGACCAGCCTGGTGAACATGGCAAAACCCCATATCTACTAAAAATACAAAAATTAGCCAGGCATGATGGCAGGTGCCTGTAATCCCAGCAACTCTGTAGGCTGAAGCACAAGAATCGCTTGAACCTGGGAGGCGGAGGTTGCAGTGAGTCGGGATTGCACCAGTGTACTCCAGCCTGGAAGACAGAGTGAGACTCTGTCTCAAAAAAAAGAAAAGAAAAAAATGAAGAAAAATTGCCTGGAAGTTACTGTTGCTGAGTGGGAGGAGATGAGATTAATGGATAGATTGAAGAGCCCAGAATAAATCAGAAATTTGGTCTAGTCTAATCCCACTTAGTGCTTCTGTTAGATTGAAATGAAAATCACCTTTGTCTCCCATTCTTTATTTCAAATTGTCCTTTATTCCCCCATTTTGTAGATGACTGACCTCAGCTAAAGTATGTGAAATATTTGCTATGTGACACTTTAATGTTTCTTGCCAGGTGCCTAAAATGTTTTTGCTATGGGAAAAGTCACTATCACCCCTATCTATAGCATCCTCCAAACAGAAAAAGAGGAGTAAAATAAGGAAACTACAGTGAATTTTCAACACCCACAGAGGTGATAATTTTACCAACCTGAAACTAAGTAAGCAGTTACAAACAGTAGAAATGCATTATTTCAGAGTAAAAAAAATTATTAAAGTCTTTACTATTAATTTATATACAACTCATTTGACTTTCTGTTTCAGTCATACTGAACTTTTGGTGATGGGCTTGTACCTCTGTGCAGGCAGGTTCTATTTTGATTTTCAAGTAGAAAAGCCAAATAAAATGTCCCAAGACATTCCTTGGCACAGTTAGAAGCATGAAGTGCCAAAGGTTTCATGAGAAAAAGACAACCTGTTTTCTCAAGGTTTCTAGTCCAACTAAGCTCTTAATTCCTAATATTATTCTCAGTTTGTGGAAGAGAAACCAAAGACTAGAGATGAAGTAACAGAATGCAGAGTGGCAAAAGGGTGTTGCTACCTGCTTCTTTGCTTTATGGAAGAGAGAGCAAGTACATGCACTAGCGCAGATATAAAGAGTAAGCTCCAGGGTTCAAGGTCAGTCAAAATAATAAGTATTGAAGCTGATTTGCTCTGTTTCCAATTTTTACAAACAGTTTAATGAAGAGAAAAGTTCTGTAACTTGCTTAAGGTTACAGATAATTAGTAGATGTCTTTTAAATCCACATCTGCGTGTCTCTCAAACCTCTGTTCAGTTTGCCTTGTTTTATCCCTTTCTATGTATTCTTCAATTCTATTTATGCTTCTGGCTTTTCTTCTCCTTGTTTCTTTGACACCAATTTTTCTGAGTATTCCTTCTCCCATATGCTTTCCCAGCTTTTCCTCACTATCTCTCAGACACTTTTCCTTTTTCTTAAATAACAATTTTGTTTTTACTCTATTGAAAAAGATGAAGTGGCATCAAAAGATTGCATGTTTAGATTGTCTTAAATTTGTTTATATATCCTGACCTCATAATTCCTTTTAAGAATTTATTCTGAATAATCAGAATATAGGCAACATGTGTACACAAGGAAGAAAATCCAAGTATAGTATTAAAAAATTAGAATAATCTTAATGTCTAATGGTAGGGTTAAATAAATTCTTTTGTGTGTGTGTGCGTGTGTGTGTGTGTGTGCATACACAGATATAAATATAATGAACTATTATAGTGATTTGAGATAATGAATACTTAATGACAGAAAAATGTTCATTACATATTTAAAATACATTATGAAAAAATTTTGAGCTCATTTATTATAGTTAGAACATTACTTGTTTCTTTAAATCCCATGTAATACCACATGACAGTAAGTAAAAAACAAAATAGTGTCTTAAAAAAGTATATAAAAAAGTTAACAGTATGTTCCATGTAATGTAAATATGATGGAAAAATACATGTATGGGGAAGGCTGGACATGTATACACTAAAATGTTAGCAGTTGTTACCTCAGGATGATGGCATTGTGGTTAAATTTAATTTTTTGAATTTCTAATTTTTTTTCTTTTCCAATGAACATTTATCAAGTTAAAAATAAAGAACACATAACAGATATTTTATGTATATCATTATTAAACTTCATTATTATTTTCCTTAGGAAAAAGGGTAGGTTGAAAAGTCAAGAATTTTTTTTTCTTCTTTAGGCTCGGAAGACTATAATCAGAGGCTGCGAAGTAAAAGGGTTGTTTATGATTCGCCATCAAACACATAAGTCTTTAATTATCATTCAGAATCACATCAATATAAATTCCTTTTTGGCACAAGTTCTATACTAGATGAATGGTAAAAAAAAAAAAAAAAAGAGCCATACGTGTGTAAGGGCTGTAGTATTTGGAGTAGACAGACAAGATCCTCTCTAGTTGCAGTGGTCACAAAGGCTTATCAAGTAGAAAGGCTTTGATATGAACCTTTTTTTTTTTAGTTTAAAACAATTTTATTTATTTTTTCAGAGACAGGGTTTTGCTCTGTCACCTAGGCTGGAGTGTAGTGGTGAAACCATAGCTCACTGTAGCCTCAGGCTCCTGGGCTCAAGTGATCTTCCTGCCTCAGCCTCCCAACTAGTTAGGACTACAGATATGTGCCACCATGACTTACTACTTTTTAAAATTTTTTTGTAGAAACAGGGTCTCTGTATGTTCCCCTGTCTGGTCTCAAACTCCTGGCCTCAAATAATTATCCTCCCTCAGCCTCCCAAAGCACTGGGGTTAAGGCATTAGCTACTGCTCCCAGCCTTCATTTGGACTTTAATGGGTAAGGAAGACTTAGATTAGCATTGTGAAATTCTTTGGCCTTAGGACCCCTGTATTTCAATATTATTGAGAACCCCAAATAGCTTTTGTTTATGTGGGTTATATCTGTCTTTATTTACCATATTAGAAATTAAAACTGAGAAAATTCAAACATAGGTATTAATTTATTTTAACCTAAATTACATGTTAACATAAATATTTTTATGGAAAGTAACTGTATTTCCCCAAACAAAAACGGGAAAGTGGTATTGTTTTACATTTTAATAGAAAACTGGTGGATTCTTATATTTGCTTCGGTTATACTGAAGCATGTGATGCTGTATGTCATGTAGTCTCTGGAAAACTCTACTGTACACCTGTAACAGAATGCGAGAGTAAAAAGGCAAGCACCATCTTAGTGTTATTGTGACCACAGCACTGCCATTGTGAGCGGGCCTCCGAGAAGCACTCTTAGAACCACTGATTAAAAGAAACTACGGGCAAAATAGAGGGATGGCATAATTTCAGAGGTAGGAAGGCATAAGGCATGTTATAGAGAGAGCGAACAGACCAGTCTGGTAGTTGTGAAAGATTCATATGGGGGAGGTAGAGGAGCTATGGCTAGAAATGTATGTTGGGGGATCATGTTCTATCAATTAAAAATACCAGCTTCTTTAATCAGAACCATCTTCACTGACCTCTAATTTTGGCATCAGAAAGCTTCAGGGCAGGAATGATAGAAAAGAAATTCATACTTGGTTTCAGGCAATTCTAAAGTTATATGGCTGGCACTATTCTAATTGATTTGTTGATTGCTTTACTCTTTTAATGTATTTAGTGTTTACTACATTCAAAGAAGCAAGGTAAGAACTAGTGATTCAAAGATGATAAAGACACAATCTGTACTTTATAGGAGCTCCCAACTAAGTGGAAGATTCAGATAGTAAAATAAGCAATACATTCATTAATCTGGATGAAGACAGAGGAAAGAGCTGCTAACCATAATTGGGTGGTGTCATAAACTGCGTTGTACAGGAAACCTCTAAGTCCCAAATACTAACAACCACTGATATATGACGATGGTGAGAAATATTTGACATATAAGGATGACAGATTCAGTACTAGAGTTAATACAGTAGATCTGGTGAGATAGTCAGATAGTTCTACAGAAAAATTTCCTGAATATGTGTTCTCTTTTGAAAGTAAGAGTGTACAAATTCTCTTTCTTCTAAAGCCCTGCAGCATCTTTCTACTGCTAGGCATGGGAGACACCATCTGTTATCTTAATGTCTCTGTTCTCTTCAGTTGGATCACCTTTTTTAGTCTTTTTCTTCTCCTCTGTAACTCAATAACAACAGTGAAGGGGAGGAAGAACTTTAGATAATTGCAACAGCTTTAAACCAAGAACTGAGAACACCTTTACTAGCCCAACTAATTATGATTAAATAAGTAAATAGAGAACCTATCTCCCAGCACCACCTGCAGGGGATGAGGAAGTCTGCAGCAGGATTCAACACTTGCTTTTCTGCCAAAATATCTTAGGGCAACATTCCATTATTGAGAATTTACAAGTTAAGAGCCAGATTTTAGTGGCTGAGGAGAATACAAAGACCAATAAGGATAATCTATCCATACTCTGAGGAACATTATTAAAACTTGGGAATGTTTGTGACAATTAGAGCAGCTTGGAAAGAACTGATTAAATATAAGAGAATCAGACTTCTTCAAAGCAACTACCACATTGTCATTTTACAATCCCCACTGATAGAAACTAATAACAAAGGTAATTTCACAGTTTTAAAAGTAAACTAATAATGTCTAGTTTTGGAGTGTCAAGTCTGTTAATTTTGTGACATGGTGAGAAAAGCCTGTGTTGCACACCCTCTTATGTGACCTGTTAAGCATGCCCTCTTCCTAATTTAAGGCTGGCCCCAGACAGCTGTATTACGGCTTTCTGCTAGTCATAAGAGGAATCAGTTGGAAAAAGATATGTGAATTAGTATAAATTCATACGCACCTATTTAATAAGTTATGAGCTTTTTCCAGTAAGAGCTTTCTCTTTACTTATCAAATCATGTCTTAGAAGCTAAAAGAATGAGGTTTTCAAAAGTTCCTAGACTTTTGAAATCTCACAAATACAAAATACTTGTTTTTGATTTTGGAATTTAACAAAGAAGCAGAATATACCAGATACACAAGAAGCAAAGAAATGAGCATTCGTAACAATACCCTTAGGGCACAGAAAGTCTTCTCTTGGGTGAGTGATCAGGAATATGAATAAAGCTGTAGGATGGTTTTCAGTGTTTTTCTTTGTTTATATTTGGAGTCTTACTATGTATACAGGCAAATTTTCTGGAGGGAACAGTCAGTCAGCTATCACCCATCCTACAACCCCAGGAAAATGCTCACAGGTATTTGGGTAGTCACATTCAAATGTTCTCATTCTTTTTCCACTAGGGTTTTGAACTACCTATTGTATATTAAGCCTCGAGTTACCATTCCCAATTATACCACTTTCCAAAATCACACCACAAGTTATAAAAACAATGATACTGATTGGTAATTAGAATAATACACTGTCAGAGGTAAAGGGATAGAAAATGTAGTCCAGTTATTTCTCAAAGTATGGGTTCTATATCTACAAAATAATTTCTTGCTTATTATAAATTCAGATTACTAGGCTGTATGTCAAAACTAATCAATTTCAAGCCAAGGGTGGAATCCAAGAAACTGCATTTTTTTCTTTTCCTTTCTTTTTTTGGAGACAGAATCTCGCCCTGTTGCCCAGGCTAGAGTGTAATGGTGCAATCTTGGCTCACTGCAACCTCCGCCTTCTGGGTTCAAGCAATTCTCTTGCCTCAGCCTCCTGAGTAGCTAGGATTACAGGTGCCCGTGCTACCATGCCCAGCTAATTTTTTGTATCTTTAGTAGAGATGGGTTTTCACCATGTTGGCCAGGCTGGTCTCGAACTCCTGACCTCATGATCCACCAGCCTTGGCCTCCCAAAGTGCTGGGATTACAGGCGTGAGCCACCGCAGTCAGAATCTGCATTTTTAACAAGCTTCTTAAAATGATGTGTGCATTAAGGTTTGGGAACCATTCTACTCCTTCATGTGACAGGACATAATTTGAGAGAAGTCAAATGATTTGGCTGAAGTGGACAGCCAGTCAGAGGCAGAAACTGGACTCATACTTAAATCTTGACTCCCAAGCTACAATTTTTAGTTATAAGTAGTTTGCATTTATTTATAAATTCCCAATAAGGGAATTTGAGTTCTTTGTTCCTTGACATTCCCCAAAGGTTTAATACCAATAATTTACCCAGCACTTGTTAAGTAAGCTGTTGTCTTCAGATTTAGGGGATATCAACTATAGAAGCTTGTGGACAAAGGTGTTTTGTTAACTTGTTACCATCCCATTCGTTCCCCTTCACAATAAGGCATGCAAGTTCATTTATCAACAAGAACATATATTCATTTTTCTCAAATCACAAGAGACAACAATAAAAAGTAAATGGAAAACTCTGCTACTAGTGTTAAACAAGAATATCCCACCCTCTATAACAACATACCATATGGTATTTCCCTACCTTGTTCAGTATTTAACCTGACAATTTATTGCTAGGTTTCTTGGCAGCAAGCTGTGCAAGTTGAAGTGGAATCCGATTGAGGTGAGTTAATTAATGTGGTGGCAGCTCGGAATGTTGTCCAGCTGCCAGTGAGAATTATGTTTGTTTGCCTTTGGCCCAAGTGTGAAATGGCTGGCTGCTGATTTCAGAAGTGTGAGTGTACATTTTTATATCTCACATGAATGAATACATTTTTTGTATCCTACACATTTGGGGAAATGCTAAAATTTATTGGGTCATGTTATTTACCACTTGTGTGGCAGAAAGAGAAAGGTGGAATTTTGCCCCAGAGGTTGACTTTGCATCTGTAGAAAAAGCAAAAGCAGGTGGCATATAAATCCAAGATCAGGTAAATAAGCCATCTGAAATTAGCTCATCTGGCCTAATGTTTTAAAGAATAACTTTCAAAAGGAGGTAAACAAGATTTTTGAACCAGAAATGAATAACTCTTGTAATGATGAAAGGAAGTAGGAAACCTAGTTTTTAAATTTCCCTTGGAAGACATGGCTTTTGGATTTACTGTTGACTTACATTTACAATTTTTATTTTCTTTCTACCACATACAATCTTCTATTGAATACATCAACTCACTGTGCAATCTTCCTATCAATAACTGATGACAGTGATTCCTGTGATGTGTTCTTGATAATTTTGACTGGCTGTAACTGATATGAGCAGGGCGTTCTCCAATTCAAGCAGTCAATAACTGACACTAAACTAACAAAGTTCAAAGAACATTTGAAATGTGTCAGATATTATTGTTCTCCTACTATTTTTTTCTATGTAATATCCTTTTAAGTAAAAATGGCTTGAGAAAAGTTTACCTTAGTAGATTAAGGAAATAGATACTTAAAAATATAATGTATAAACATTTATTTATTTCAACATTTTGAAAAAAAGTAATGCCCTAAAAGCAAAGGAAATAGCATGGAAGTGATGTAAGAACAAATAGTATGAAAAGTTTGCAAACCTAACAGAACAAGTTACCAAAACCCCTTTCTGATGACAAACAGACTTCCTTAAATTTTGATGTTGCCATGAGAATATTAAGAAAACTTTAAAATAAAAGTGTTCATACTTTGGAAGACATTCAGTGAAATTAGTTTGGTAAAATAATCTAGTAAAAATAGTATTTTAGATGCAGAAGTCTGTAGTAAAAACACAAGTGAATCAGTGCAGAAATAGAACCATGGATTCATAGAACTTTAGAGATTAAAGAGAAAGTAAGGAAATTTGAATAAAGTGTGAAATTTAATTAGTAATAATAGATTGATATTTGTTCATTGATCATTACTAATGTACCATACTCACGTATGATGTTAATAATAGGGGAATTAGGCAGATTCTTAGGCTAAGTTTCTGTGTTTATAAAATTCATGTATGTATATATTAAGTACTGAATGAACAGTATATTATTCTTAAGGTATTATAACTTATAGTGTGTCAGTAATCATTTACTACATGACAACTTCTAGAGATTCACAGGATTGGGATATTTGTTATGCTAAGGCTTCTTGAACAAAAATGGCACTTTATTTAGAAGGAGCATCAATGTATTAGTTATCTGTGTACAAATTAATTCAAGGCCGGGTGTGGTGGCGTAAAACTGTAATCCCAGCACTTTGGGAGACCAAGGAGGGTGGATCACCTGAGCTCAAGAGTTTGAGACCAGCCTGGACAACATGGTGAAACTCCGTCTCTACTAAGAATACAAAAATTAGCTAGGCATGGTGGTGGGTGCCTATAATCCCAGCTACTTTGGAGGCTGAGGCAGGAGAATCGATTGAACCCAGGAGGTGGAGGTTGCAGTAAGAGGAGATCATGCCATTCGCACTCCAGCCTGGGTGACAAGAGTGAAACTGTGTCTTGAAAGACAATTACCTCAAAATCTAGTAGATTAAAGCACTAAATATTATCTCACAATTTCTGCTGTGGTTCAGGAATTTAGGAGCACCTTACCAAGGGGGTTCTGGCTCAGCGTCTCTCATGAGGTTGCAGTCAAGATGTCATCCCAAACTATAGTCATTTTAAGGCTGACTGTGCAGAAAGCTCAAGTTCTTGGGCTTCCTATTGGCAGAAGCACTGAGTTTTTTGCCATGTGGACATTGCAGAGTGCATCTTGAGTATCCTTATGACATGGCAGCTGGTTTCTCCCAGAGTGAATAATCTAAGTGAAAGAACAAGGAGGAAGTCACAAAGTCTTTTATGTCCTAATTTTGCAAGTCATACACTGTCACTTCTGCCACATTGTATTTGTTAGAAGTCAATAAATATAATCCATACTCAAAGGGAGAAGAATTAGGTGCCACCTTCTGAAGAGGGTACAATTAAAGAATTTGTGGACATATTTTAAAACCACTGCAACCAATAAGGAAATTCATATAGGAAAAGACTCTAAAGATGTTTCTGATGTTGCTAATTAGAACAAGAAAAGTATTTAGCCCTTGTCACCATAACCAGGAAGGTGGGCCTAGATTTCCTGTAACATTTTATTACACCAAATTTATTTCCTGAGCTTTCTTCATAAAATATGACTGCTAGAACCAATGACTGTAAACTGGGTGGCTTAAACAACAGAAGTTTATTCTTTCACAATGCGGGAGGTCAGAAGTTCAAAGTCAAGGTGTCAGCAGGGCTGTACTCTCTCTGGAGGCTCTAGAGGAGAATCTGTTTCTGCCTCTTCCAGTTTCTGGTGGTTCTTGGCATCTTTGACTGTTAGCTGTGTTATTCCAGTCTGTGTTGTCATGGTGGCATTGCTTCCTCCTGTCTGTGTTATCTTCCTTTGCCTCATTCTTGTAAGGACACTTGTCACTAGATTTAGAGCTCACCTGGAAAATCCAGGATAATGCTCCTCTTAAAATTCCTTTTTTGATATGGAGTCTTGCTCTATTGCCCAGGCTGGAGTGCAGTGGTGCAATTTGGCTTACTGCAACCCCGCCTCCTGGGTTCAAGCTACCTCAGCCTCCCGAGTAGCTGGGATTACAGGTGCATGCCACCTCACATAGCTAATTTTTGTATATTTAGTAGAGATGGGGTTTTGCCATGTTGGTCAGGCTGGTCTTGAACTCCTGACCTCAGGTGATTTGCCCACCTCTAACTCTCAAAGTGCTGGGATTACAGGCATCAGCCACCGTGCTGGCCCTGAACAATTTTTTTTTAAATTGTACTTTAAGTTCTGGATGATGGATGCAGCAAACCACCACACATGCCATGGTGGTTTGCTGCATCTATCACCCTGTCATCTACATTAGGTATTTCTCCTAATGCTATCCCTCCCCTACCCCCCACCCCCAAAATTCTTAACTATGTATTTTGCATTACAAGGTAATATTCAGTCTTTTACTATATATGGCAATAGTAATGGGTTCTGGGGATTAGGAAGTGGCCATGTCGTTTTGATCACCATTTAGCCCACTATACCTAGTATCTCTATTAATTTGTGTGGCAAAATTGGAGAACAAAAAATCTCTAGTGGCCAGTTGTGGCCTCCCAGTACTTTAGGAGGCCAAGGCCGGAGAATCAGTTAAGGCCAGGAGTTCAAGACCAGCCTGGGCAATATAGTGAGACCCCATTTCATAGACACACACACACACACACACACACACACACACACACACACACATATTAGAAAAAAAATATTTAAAATTAGCCAGGCATGGTGAAGCACACCTGTAGTCCTAGTTACTCAGGAGGCTGAGGCAGGAGGATCACTTGAGCCCAGGAATTTGAGTTTACAGTGAGCTATATGATTGCACCACCACACCCCAGTCTTGGTGGCAGAGTCAGACCCTGTCTTGAAAAAAAAAAGATACTTAAGATAGCCCTAAAGTTTGACCACTACTTAAAAAGAATTTTTATTCCTTTTTTCTTTTATTATACAGCATCTCGCCCTGTCTCTCAAGCTGGAGTGCAGCAGCATGATCTTGGCTCACTGCAACTTCTGCCTCCTTGGTTGAAGCGATTCTCCTGCCTCAGCCTCCCGAGTAGCTGGGACTACAGTCATGTACCACCATGCCCCACTAATTTTTTTGTATTTTCAGTAGAGACAAGGTTTCATCATGTTGGTCAGGCTAGTCTCAAACTTCTGACCTCAAATGATCTGCCTGCCTCGGCCTCCCAGTGTTGGGATTAGAGGCGTGAGCCACCATGCCTGGCTGTATTTCTTTGAGACAGGGCCTCACTGTGTTACCCAGGCTGGAGTGCAGTGATGCAATCTCAGCTCACTACAGCCAGGCTCAAGCAATCCTCCCACTTCAGCTTCCCAAGCAGCTGGAACTGTAAGCATGCAACACCATGCCCAGCTAATTTTTTGTTTATTTTTTGTAGAAATTGGGTCTTACTTTGCTGCCCAGGCTGGTCTTGAACTCCTGGTTTCAAGTGATCCTCCTGCCTTGGCCTCCTGAAGTATTGGGAATGATTATGGGCATAGGCCACTGCACTGGGCCTCTTATTTTTATTTTACCTTATTTATTTTTTCAGACACAGAGTCTTGCTCTGTCACCCTGGCTAGAAAGCAGTAGCACAATAGTCCATTGCAGTCTTGACCTTCTGACCTTAAGTGATTCGTGATTCTCTTGCCTCAGTCTCTTGAGTAGCTAGGACTACAGGTGCACACCACCACACCTGGCTAATTAAAAAAATACATATTTTATATACATATATACACACATATATATGTGTGTGTATATATACATATATTATATAATATATATTATATGTGTGTGTATATATATATGTATGTAGAGATGGGGTCTCACTATGTTGCCCAGGCTGGTCTCCAACTCCTGGCCTCAAGTGAGCCTCCTGCCCTGGCCTCCCAAGTGCTGAGATTACAGATGTTAGTCACTATACCCAGCAAGTTTTCTTTCTTTAAACTTTGCTATAAATAATCAAGATAATCAAATACCTGTAAATACGTTTTTGGAAAAAGTGAGAAGATTTTTCAAAGTGTGATGTAAAGTTGAGAAATACTGTTCTAGTTAATTCTTTTTAATAATCAAGTATTTTGAAAATATATAAAACATGAATAACACCCAGTTACTCAACACCTATCAAATATTAACATTTTTCCTATTGGAAGAGAAGTAAACATTACAGATATAGTTGAAGAACCCAGTATTTCCTTCCCATTATATTTTCCCATGTCTTCCTCTTCAGAGGTAATGATACTATCCTGAATTTAGTTACTTTCTCATAAAAGTTTAAAAAGTTATTCCTATATATAGATGTAGCTATCATAATGTATAGCATTTCTTGAATGCCATATACATGTATGTGTAAATATATAGACATATCTGTAGACGTATACACACACTATATGTTATACTGTTATTTCTTCAGATTTATTGATGTTGATAAATATGTAACTTGGTTTTTGTTTTTCAAATTGTAGGTTTCAAATCGTTAGTAGCATACAAAATCAATTTAGCTGGTCATCAACTGCTTTAGAAAAAAATAGAACAGAAAATAAAATATATCATAAGTACTCAATTTAATGCCTATATACATATATGTATGTGATGTATATATGTATGCATATATGTATTAAGTCATGGTGTGAAATGTATTTCTTACTGTAGGTAAAATATTTAAAAGTCATAACATTCATTTTCACTAGTATATAATATTCTATTGTATGAATATGACAGTTAACTAGTGTCCAACTGACATTTCAATTGTTTCTACTGTTTTACTAATACAGGTTGAGTATCCTAATTCCCAAATCAAAAACGCTCCAAAATCTGAGTTTTTGAGTGCCAGCATGACCCTCAAAGGAAATGGTCTTTGGAGGATTTTAGATTTTTGGATTAGTGTTGCTAAATTGGTAAGTATAATGCAAATATTCCAAAATCTGAAAATATTTGAGATCTGAAACACTTCTGGTTCCAAGCATTTTGGATAAGGGATCCTCAACCTGTACAAACAATGCTGCAAGACAGTATTAAACATATCTCCTTGTGCATACATGTAAGTTTCTATAATATGTACAAATAGAATTGTTGGGTCATAGGGCATACATTTTCAACTCTGCTGGATGTTGCTTAATTCCTCTCCACTGTGTTGCTCTCAGTAACAGTGTACTACATTCCTATCCTACAACTCACTGACATTATACATTAAAAATATTATCAGTCTGATAGGTATGGAATAGATCATTATTGTTTCAAATTGAATACCCCTGATTAGTGAAGCTGAAGATGTTTTCTTGTGATTATTACACATTTGGGTTTCCTCTTCTATGAATTGCTCAGTTTTCTATTGAATTTGTTCATTAATTTGTAGTTTATTATAAAATGAATTCTTTTCTTCGTTGAGTAATGAACATTTAATCATCTTCACCCAGTTTGTGGCTTGTATTTTGACGTTATTTGATGAACAAGCTTCTTAAGTTTTAATGTATAAACTTTGTAAGCTTTTCTTTGAAAGTTTGTCCTCTTTATATCTTTATGCCTTACTTAAGAAATCCTTCCTCTCTGAGGCATAATAATTTTTTCCTATAATTTCTCTAAAAATTAAAAAAATTCACACTGAATTCTTACTCCATTTGGAGTTTATTTTTGTTTGTTGTGGAGAGTGGTAGATTTACTCTACCGTCACTTGCATAAGCTCTTTTCAAGGCTCTGGGAGAAGCCCAAGTAATGTTCACATGGGTTATGTTTTTATAAAATTTTCAAAAATAATTTATTTTGGAATTTCCTTAGGAATCCCCAAATAATAAGTTTTTGGCCTCATAAAACTTAGACTTCTTTCCTACATCTGAGGTAGGATTCTAATTTTAATCTTTCTCCACATAGGGAGTAATTGTTCTAGTATCAATGATTGAAATGTGCAAACTCTTTGCCATTGATTTGCAATCCTACTCTGTCATATATAAAGATGTCATGTTTGAGGGGGTTTCTTTCTGGGCTCTTTATTCAGTTACATTGGCATGTTTGTCTATCCCTCCAATTTATTTTGATGTAGTAGGGATTTCTAGGACTCTTTTTGTCTTCCAAAAGGGTATTAAACCAGGCCATTCCATTGGTGATTTATTTTAGTGAAAACTATACTTTTCTGATTTTGCTTGAAAGGCTTAGGTCAGTGGAAAAAATACGTTGGTATCTGTAACTGGTAATTCCTCTCTTAAGCCTTGACTGATTTTCTCACATAGTTCTAAATGATTTTTTTCAGTGTCCCACAGCACTTTTTACATAATCCACTTAATCATATGATATTTTAATTAGTCATTTATATCTGTGATTCCAATGAAATGGAGCTCCTTCAATGTGGGCTGCCTAAGTAACTGGTATGGTGTATAACACATAGTGGGCATTCAAAGAATGTCTGAGTTAATGAGTAAATTCAGAATATCAAACTAATATACATAAGTAATTTGAGCCAATCATGATTGTTATTTCTTGCCAATTGGACTTATGAACTATACTGTGCTCAATTTTCAAAATGAGGTAATGTCTACGTGATTGGATATTTGTTCACACTTAACTCTGAGGGTATATTAAGAATCCTTATATGCTGCAACTCTTTAGGAAGCCAGTCAGAAGTGCACTATACAGCTGCTTAATGTGTATGACTTTAAATCCAGAAAACTTTGTTGTGCTATTGATTGTAGTAATTAATGGTTTTTCTTTTTTCCTTCTCAAAAGGGGAGAAATAAAGTCAGAAGATTCAGGTTGATTACAATTTTAATGTTTCTGAAATAACAAAGTTGAAATAAGATCAGCTTATGTTTATTATATGAATTATTTAAAATAATACTTATTGCTGTGACAGATAACCCTCCATATCTCAGTAAGTTTAACAGTAGTTTATTTCTCAATCATGGAAAATCCTAATGGATGTTAGTTATCAGCAGTTGTTTCTCCAGGCAATGATTTATAGACTTAATCTCCTAGTTTTTGTCCTTAACATCTCCTTAGACCCTGGAGTCCTCTGCACATTTTTATCCTGCTTGGCAATGGAGAAAGACTAAAGCTGTCATGTGGGAGGCTTTTATGAGCCAGGCCTGTGCCTACATCACTTGTATCCACATTCAGGTGATCAGAACTCAGTTACTTGACAAAACCTGGCTATTAGCCAGAATAATAATCTAGCCATGTGTACGGAAAGAAAAGGTAAGCAGATTTTCTGAATAATTGTTAAAGCAAATCACTGACATAACCTATTAGGTACCACATAATATGCGAGGCATTAGGGATACAGGACCCCGTAGTTGAAGATCCCATATATATACCACACATAGTAGAAAACGAAATAAAAAAAGAAGCCTTTCTCCAGCTTTTTCAATTTTTAAATCTTGCAGCTGGAAAATGTAAGCAGGGAGATGGAAATAAATAAAATAAATAAAATACAGAAATGAAGAAACAGAATGGTTAATGACCTTCTAACATGGAAAACACTATCTGAGGTGGATTCATTGGTGAGTAATACCAAACATTTAAGGAAGAAATTATACCAATTCTGTATAATCTCTTCCAGATGATAGACGCAAAGGAATACTTCCTAATTTATTCATGAGCCCAGCATTACTACAATACCAAAATCAGATAAAGACATTATAAGAAAACTAAACCAATATTTCTAATGGACACAGATGCAGAAATCTTCAAAAAAATATTAGCAAATTAAATCCAACAATGTATAAGAGGAAGTATAAACAATGACAAAGTGGGACTTATCCAAAGTATGCAAGGCTGGTTACACATTCAACTAATCAATTATTGTAATTAATCACATTAACAGGCTAAAGAAGAAAAATCACGTGTTCATATCAATAGATGCAGAAAAAGCATTTGACAAAATCTAATACCCATGTTATGATAATAACTTTCAGTGAGCTTTAGCTTGCTAAAGAACATCTACAAAAACCCTACAGCTAACAGTATACATAATGGGGAGAAACTTGTAGGTTTCCTGTTAAGAACAAGGCCTGCCTCTACAGAACCAATCTGCCTCAATGTCTTCTTGAGAACCCTTAAACTATTTGTAGGGGGAAGAAAAATCTTACAATACGAAGACATAATAGTAGTAGATTTGGAAAAGGCTTGCTATTTGACATTTAAAAAAATGATCAATGAAACTATCAGTGAAAAGGAATTAAATTTATCTTGACTACTTATGGTAAAGGGCACAGTGGAGCACAGGTTGAAAACTACAAATTTTTTGATACTTAAACGAAAACACAGTTCCCAGATAATTTTCCCAAGTGAGGAATTTGGCTATTTTTTGTTGGTTTCAGGAGAAAAATGGCATATGAGAACAAAAAGTGTTTAGCATTCCATATGTTATTTGTTCAAACATCTTAGTAACATTTCCACTCCTATATTTGGCCAATTTATCTTAACATAGTGTTTTTATTTAGTAGATCACCATATTAGAAAACTAGGCCCTTGGACAGGTGTGTTGGCTCACACCTGTAATCCCAGCACTTTGGGAGGCTGAAAGTGGGCGGATCACCTAAAGTCAGGAGTTCGAGACCAGCCTGATCAACATGGATAAATCTTGTCTCTACTAGAAATACAAGATTAGCCAGGCATGGTGGCGCATGCCTGCAATCCCAGCTATGTGGGAGGCTGAGGCAGGACAATCACTTGAACCAGGGAGGTGGAGGTTGCGGTGAGCTGAGATTGTGCCATTGCACTCTAGCCTCGGCAACAAGAGCGAAACTCTGTCTCAAAAAAAACAAAAACAAAAACAAAAACAACTAGGCCCTTTTTCTCTAGAAAAGTGACAAGACCTGGAGCTAGTGTTGTAGACCACCGGGAGGTTCCACACAATTAGTAGAACAATTTTCTTTAAGTCAAAACCTCTAAGTCATGGCTTTGACCTGTGTTTCAGATGAAGCAGACAACTAAAAAATAATTCATTTGTATAATTTGGTAAGTTTTGATAATACTCAAATTATTTGAGTTATTAATGAAGGCGTTTTTTTTGTGACAGAACAGCTGCTCTGAATTAGCAATTAGCTGCTGCCTTTTTTGGTGGAACTTATTTCCTTATTTTCAATAATAAATCTAAACACCTTGCATCCTCAGGCCTCTTTTCTATTGCAGTTAATGAAGCTCTTTCAAGAAATGGTAATTTTGAATTCCAGGAAAGAGCATTAGGCCTGGATGGGTATTTAACAACCTTTTAATAAGCCTAGTTTGATTTAAAAAAAAATCTTTTGGACAGGGTCTCACTCTGTCACCCAGGCTGGAGTGCAGTGGTGTGATCCCTGCTCACTGCAGCTTCCACCTACTGGGCTCAAGTGATCCTCCCACCTCAGCCTCCCGAGTAGCAAGGACTACAGTCACGCCACCACGCCCAGCTAATTTTGTATTATTATTTTGTAGAGGCGGGTTTTGGAGGGCTTGGCCTCCCAACGTGCCAAGGCGTGCAGGCCTGGCCAGGAGTTTACTTTCAAAATGCAGTGGTAAGGTGCTTTCTTCAGAGGTAACCAAAAATAAGACAAGCTGGGCAAAACTTGTCCAGCATGTCTATGCGATTCCTCTAAGTCCAATGTATATTTTCAGAGTTAATGTTTGAGTTTCTTGACTTTGTTAGCTTGCAAGCTATTATACGGAAAGGTAATATTTTATAGACTCATTACAGCCTAATACAACCAACACCGACGCTTACAACTCTGGATTCATTACTTACTAGTTACTTTCACTTTGTCTCTAGAACTCTCAATTCCGCTTTCATTTTGGTCCTTCCCGCAGCTTCCCTAAATCCCATGTCAGACCGCAATCCTTTGGTTCTCTGCAATCTTCTCTTTGACCATCCCTCCCCCGCCCCTCATCAGCCAACTAGGGAATACTCTGTCATTGCTTTGTGAAAGTAACAGAATGCGAGAGCTTGTCTACATGTGTGGCCAAAACGCATCCTACAAGGGTATACGTCTGAATCCCTTCATTTCTCTTCCCACATCCGCCTGCCTTCCAGCAAATAAACCTCGGAACTAAGTTTAAATCTGTCACTTGCTCCTCCTACCAGCGGCCTATTTCTTCTGCCCTCCTCACTGAACCCAAGTTCCTCTTCCCAGTCCTTTCATTTATCAAGAAAAACAACCCTCTCTATTTTTCAGGGCTTTAAGTGCTAGGTCTGGTCTCTCCGCATCGAACCAGCGACCCTCTGTGCTTCCCCACCGAGGCCGAACCTCCATCTGGGGAACCGCCGCGGCGCAGCGGATCCCGGCACCCGCATCCACCTTTTCCCCGGAGCGCCACTTCCGGATCTCGGGTGTTTCCACTTTACGGTTCCCCTCACCCCTTCAGACACTTCCTAGAGCTTTGTCTAGCAGGGTCGGAGCGGGGACCCTGGCTAGCCGAAGGCAAGAGTTCTCCTCCACGAAGACGCGCAGAGTAGCTTCTCCACCCTGAGCAATCCGGTCCGGCTGCGTAGAGTGGCGGCGGTGGAGGGGCAGTTTGTTTTGAGCACCAAGTGGGGCACACCCGGAAGTGGCGCGATACAGGAGCCGCGCTGCGGGCAGGGGCGGGTGCCGGGAACCTGGAGGTGGAGGGAAGGCCGCGGGACTGGCAAGTGAGCCGAGGGTGGAGTGCAGAGGGAGTGGGAGCGGGAGGGGGCCTGGCTTTAGCTCTGGTTCTTTGGTGGCAGATCCGGCTGGCTTCCGGGAGGCGAGGGCCCCGCGGGGTGGCCAGGTTGGTAAGCCCGCTTCACTTCACCCTTCCGGTCTGAGGGACACGCTATCTTCTGGTCACTGTCTCTTCCTCCCTCACTTAGCCTGGCTAGGGGTGTTGTACTTGTGAGGAAGTCGCAGCTGGAGCTGGGGGGTCCGCTTGACTTTTCTCTGCTTCTAAGAGGAGGCGAACGGCCGCTTTGGTGGGAACCTACTGCTTTCTGCCGGGTAACTAACGCTTTTTCCTTCAGTGTACCGCCAGCTGCTTACGTTTCTGTCTTTTCTTCTTTCAGCTCTGACTTTGACTCCTTACCTTAAAAGATGCTGGAGTCATATGTAACTCCAATTTTAATGAGCTATGTGAATCGCTACATCAAGAACTTAAAGCCGTCGGACCTGCAGCTTTCACTATGGGGTGGAGACGTGGTACTCAGCAAGCTCGAGTTAAAGTTGGATGTGCTGGAACAGGTAAGCTATGTAGCTGTCATTCTGACCTCAGGCGATCCGCCCGCCTCGGTCTCCCAAAGTACTGGGACTGTAGGCGTGAGCCACCGGGCCCGGCCTACATAATTTTAAAAAGGAGTTTGTTCCCAGTGAGGGTATATTAGAATGGGATTACTCAAAGTTGCCTTGACAGGAAAACGATTTCGTTGTGTCAGAATTGTTCGGTCTATATACTCAATTTTCAAGCATTACGAATGTGCTAATTTACATTGTCAAAATTATTATGTGTAAGCCTGTAATGTCTCCACTCGATTACATTCTTAATATCCTTTTTGGGCAATGGAAGGGGTTGAAAGCCAGCAGGAAGGGTGGCTGGCTGGTGGGGCTGAGAAAAAAAAGACCAGAATAAAAAAAAGAGCAGGTTCAGATCCCATTTCCCACGGCATCCTCAGAGTGTTGAGTAGATGCATTGAGAATGGCAGTAAAATTGGAAACTTCTTTATTAATCGTTTTAGTTCCTTTTAATATGAGCTTGGTCTGATGCAAGAAACTGTAACTTCAGGGTTCACATATTCATTAATTCATTTAGTACATTTATTAGTAACATATGCCAAAAAATTCTGTTAGGCTTGAGCATCTGTGGAAACTCAGAAGAGAGACCAACTGGTTTTTAGGATAAGGGAAGACTTAATCTGATAGTAATAGTTATTGATCATTTGTAGTTATAGTCCACAGCCTCTTTTATTACTCGTTTATTAAGTAAATCTAGACTTAACACTAAGAAATAATATTCTTGGCTGCTTCTTTTTCCTCTTTTCAGGGTTGAGTGGATATTTTCAATATTTTCATTTTAGTTTTTTCTTTTTAATGAGTACAAATCCCAAGTATAAGAGCTCAATTTTAAAATGTTTTATATCTGTGCAACTACTGTCCAATAAAAAAATAGAATGTTTCCAGCACCCCAAAAACCTCACCCGTTTTACTTTTAATAAGTACTCCAGGCTGGGCGCGGTGGCTCATGCTTCTAATCCCAGTACTTTGGAAGGCCGAAATGGGTGAATCACGAGGTCAGGAGTTCAAGACCAGCCTGGCCAACATGGTGAAACCCATCTCTACTAAAAATACAGAAAATTAGCCGGACATGGTGGCATGTGCCTATGATCCCAGCTACTTGGGAGGTTGAGGCAGGAGAATTGCTTTATCTGGGAGGCGGAGGTTGCGGTGAACTGAGATCATGCAACTGTACTCCATCCTGGGCGACAGAGTGAGACTCCTTCTTGGGGGTGGGGGAAAGTACTCCCCACTCCTAAAAGAGGTGACTGGTAATCTGTCTTCTGTCAACATAGATACCTTTTACCTGTTTTTGAACCTGAAATAAGTTGATATCACTTATTGTTTGGCTTTTTTTCTTTCAACATTTCTAAGATTAACCCATGTTGTTAGATGAGTTTGTTTTTTGTATTGCCATTACTATTCCATTGCATAAAGATTCTACAATTTACTTTTCTCCTGTTGATGGACACTTGGGTTTTTAATATTTTTGGCTTGTGAAGAAAGCTTCCATAAACATTCTGGTACATGAATCTTGGTAACATAAGTATTAATTTCTCTTAGGTGTATACCTAGAAAGTAGGCATGTGTTTAGCTTTCATACTGCCAGATAGTCTTCCAAAGTGATTGTAACAATTCCAGTCTCAGCAACAATGTATGAGCATTCCGTGTATTTTACATTTTTGCTGCTACTTGGTATATTAATATTTTAATGTTAGCCTTTCCAGTGGGTGTGTAGTGGTATCTCATTGTAATTTTAACTTGCATTTTCCTAATGACTAATGATGTTGAGCACCTTCTTAATATTCTTATTGGCCTTTTACTTATTTTTTTTTTGTGAATTCTTTTTTCCTTTTTTTAAAATTGGGTTTTCTGTCTTATTGATGTATAGGAATTCTTTATATATTTTGGAAATGAGTCCTTTGTCAGTATATATGTTTTGCAATATTAACTCTCAATTTGTGGCTTGTCACTTTACTCATACAGGTGTCTTAATGAATAAAAGTTAACAATTTTACGGAGGTCCAATTTATCAATCTTTTCCCTTGTGCTTAGGGTTTTTCTTGTGTTGTTTAAGAAATCTTTACTTAACACCAATGTCATGAAGATATTCTTTTCTATTTATTTTAGGAGCTTTATTGAATTACATGATTCATCTCAAATTAGTTTTTCTGCATATATGAAATAGAGGTCAAGATTAATTTTTTTTCCATTGATCGTCAGTTGATCTATACCATTTCTTGAACTCTTCTTTCCCTACTCAATTACAGTAAGCCTTTGCTGTAAATCAGGTTGCCATATATGAGTGGATTTGTTTCTGAACTCTTTGATCTATTTGTCTATTCTTGTGTCACTCCATATGGTTACCAATAAGATTTGATATCTGTAATTAATACAATTTTGTTCTGTTCACCTTCAAGATTGTCATAACTATTTTAAGTCCTTTGTATTTCCATATACATTTTATTTATTTATTTTTTGAGTCTTGTTCTGTTATGCAGGATGGAGTGCAGTGGCTCGATCTCGGCTCAGTGCAACCTTCGCCTCTCAGGTTCAAGCAATTTTCCTGCCACAGCCTCCCTAGTAGCTGGGATTATAGGCATGCACCATCACGCCTGGGCAATTTTTGTATTTTTACTAGAGACTGCATTTCACCATGTTGCCCAGGCTGGTCTCAAACTCCTGACCTCAGGTGATCCACCTGCCTTGGCCTCCCGAAGTGCTGGAATTACAGGCATGAGCCACCACTGCCAGCCTATCATATACATTTTGATTTCAACTTGTAACTTTTAGAATTAATTTCCAAAAAGGAAAGCTGTTGGTGTTTTTTCTGGGATTACATTGACTCTGTAGGTCAATTTTGGATGAATTAACATATTAACATACTGAGTTGACATAGTTTTGAGTTTTTCCATTCATATACAGAGCAATGCTTTTCATATTTTTAGGCCTTTTAATTTCTCTCAGCAATGTTTTGAACTTTTTAGAGAAATTTTGCATGTATTTCATTAAATTTCATCTGTTTTTATTGATGTTTAAGTAGATTTTAAAAACCTTTATTTTCTGGCTAGGCTCAGTGGCTCTTTCCTGTAATCAATCATAGCGCTTTGGGAGGCCGAGGTGGGTGGATCATTTGAGGTCAGGAGTTTTGAAACAGCCTGGCCAATTTGGAAAAACCCCATCTCTACTAAAAATACAAAAAAATTAGCCAGGTGTGGTGGCACATGCCTGTAATCCCAGCTACTTGGGATGCTGAGGCACGAGAATCACTTGAACTGGGGAGGTGGAGGTTGCAGTGAGCCAAGATCATGCCACTGCACTCCAGCCTGGCGACAAAGAGAGACTCTGTCCCAAAAAACAAAAACAAACGAAAAAACCCCTTCATTTCCTAATAATTTGTTACCAGTACAGAGAAATCAAATTGATTTTAGTATGTTGACCTTCTATCTAGTGGCCTAACATGTCTACCAGTATTTGGTAGGTTCTTTTGGATTGTCTATGTTCAATCATGTCATCTGCAAATAATGACAGTTTTACATCTTTCTATACAGTACTTGTATCTTTTATTTCCTTATTATACTGGGCTAGGACCTCTTATATAATGTGTAGTAGAGATCATGAGAATAGACATTCATCCTTTTTTGTTTCTAATTTCAGTG